TGCATTAGCACCCTCTCCTACGTCTCCTTTTAACTCTGACTTGCATGATAGTCTTGCACAGGCTGTCATGCCTTGTAATGTGTCCAAACCATGCCATTTTTCTCCATTCGACAATGGCAAGAAGAGATTCCTTATATCCCACAAAACTTTCAACTCTTTTTTGCACAAACTCATTGTTTTTTGTCCCCAATAGAAAATGCCAATGATTTTTTTCTCATATAAAAGATGGTGTGGTACCATATGCAGTTTCCAGCATCTGCTGGGAGTCTGGGTGTCATAGAAGCTATTCTCCATAGATATTTGTATAAATATTTACATCAATTAATTTTAATAGAAAAAATTCTGTTTTTGTTTTTTTTTTTTTGTTTTTTTTAGTGTGAGATATGCAATTTTTTTTTCAAACAATGATCATTATTATCATTTGATAAGAAAACAAAAAGAAATATTACTTACATTTGGAATTGACCACAGGAGGGCTGGAGGGAGGACTGAGACTTCTCTGGAAACAGTAAAAATAAAAAAAAAAGATAAATATTTTAGCATTAAAAGAAAACAAATGGCATATTTATACAAGACTGAAATTGTAGCAAATAAAATCTCTGCAATTAGAAAGAAAGAAAAGAAAAAAAAAAAGATATCACTTCAAAACAAAACCTAGTATTTAATCTTAGAAATTGATATTTTTATGAACATCCAAAAAAAAAAACGAAGAAATAATTATATTTTTTGTCTTCATTAAATAAAATAATACTGACAATGTGATATTTCTTGTGAAGATGAAATTATCAACAAGTTTCAAACATTTTCATCATTTAGGAATCATATCAATTATTTTCAACTTTAATATGACTTTATTAATATTTAATATAACCATACAGATTTAGACAAATTCTTTTATAAGTCATTATTATAGAAGGGTTGGAATATAACCTTGTTTTAGTTGCATTTTGACTTTACAGCAAAACGATGTCTCACAAATCCTTCTATGATAACTATAAATATACTTTTTTATGCCATGCTTCACAAGTAAAACTTTGCTTCATCTGTTATCCATTCTTTTTGCTCTGTATTCTGTTTACCTTCTTCTGGTTCCATGCTTTCCAACCAATCTTTTTATTTAATTTTTTTTAATTTTATCTTCAAAAATTTAATTGCAATATCAATTGTTATATACTGTCTTCTTGATTACTCTTCTATTGTTCCTGCTCTTTAATAATATTTCTCTTTTTTTCTTATTCTTCCATAATCAGTAACCTCTTGTGTCTTAGTGGCTTTACTATCTTACATGGGGTGAAATGATAATCTTAATTTCGGTTTTTAAATGTGTATCTAAAAAAGAAAAGGTGATACTTGCAGATTTGGAAATTTACACATTCTAAAAATGAAATTAAAAGCTTTTAATTATTTTTAATATTTAATTTTAGGTGTATTCGCTAGATAAGAACATAAATTTATTTAGGGGAAAATTAACTCATTGATTTTCCTTGTTTAGAAGAAATTTATTTGCAAAACTCCAATAATAGTTGACTGGTGTACCAGAAAAGAATTTCATTTTTTTTTTTTTTTTCTTACTTTATAATTTTTGAAGGAATTTGCTTCCTCGGGTCAGAAAAGAAATTAACATTTTGCTGATTGTAGTTTAAGTTGTCTTCTAATTGAGTGTACAATTTCAAGAATATTGATAAAAATTGGTCACTTTGATTTTGCAAAACAAAGTAATGTGTAAAATTTAGTCTTGAAAAAAAAATCATTTAGCATTTTCAGCTGGTAGAAGCAATACCGTTTTAACTCACTGTGAAAAAATAATTCAATGAATAACAGCACATACAAATTACATATTTAGAAAGATTATTTTATTTTCTTTCCAGCCATAAATATTTTTAAGATAAATAAATACACAAGATATTGCGAGTTGAATGAACAAAGTTGCAAATTTATCAATCTCAAACAAAATCAGATATCGACTGGAAATGCTCTCATTACACAATAAAATGGATGGCTTCCTTAGAAAGGAAAGATACTAAATTAAAAACCAAATCGAAAACTGCGGTATCAAGGAAAACAAAACTGAAAACCAATACTGAAACATAAATTACTGAACGACTCTAATGGTTGAAATCAAAAATGGCTTGATGTGACTCTGGGATGTCCAGTTGATCAAACAAAAAGGGAAAGAAAGAAAGATGGAAGAGCAAAGAGACAACTAACTGGATGATAACTGTTGAAACTTGCAGGAAGAGAGATTGAAAAGTTGAAAAGAAACTTAAAAATGAAATGTGTTGAATGAAATGCATTAAAAAATCATGTTTAAAAATAATTCCAAAGAGAATTGAACCCAAATTTAAATAGCTGGAATTCAATAAGATTGAACAAAACCAAGAATACCTGTCCTTCCCCACTTCCTGCTGATGACAAAGAAACCGTCGGAGTTAACTCCTCCTAAATTTCCTAATTGTCACTAAGGCATGCTCTTCCTACACTATAAATTCTGGGTAACTTCTTGCCTCGTTCTCTTTTCACTTTGCATTTCAGCAGACACATTTAAAAATGTGGGAAAAGAGATATTCATGCTTTTACCACTTTGGGAAAAACACCATGAAACTCATATACATGTACATATGAACATTCACCAAACTACAAACTCTTTACGTTCGCACACAAACACAAATGTTGATGTCTTTGTCACTTGTAAATTTGTTGTTTAATACATATATTTGTTTATATATATAATTTTTCTTCATTCTGTCGGATTTATATCCATTTACACTTGCTTATATATATATATATATATATATATATATATATATAGTTGATATATTATATATATATATATATATTGTTGACATATTATATATATATATTGTTGATATATTATATATATATATATATATATATATTGTGACATATTATATATATATATATATATTATGAATAAAAATGACAATAGGAAAACTGGTAATTGTTGACGCGTTTATTCCAATGTGGACTTTATCAAAGCAAAATATATAAAAATGAAATTAAATGAACAACGAACTAATAAAAAACAAAAACAGAATGTACCTAGCAACTGAATGTAGAGAAACGCTATTTTCATATTTTTTAAATGAGAAATAACGTCAGAGATTGTCACGTGGGAGAATATTGTCATTATATCTGTGTTGATGTATTCAACCATTTTCTTTTCGATTTAAGGAATCTGTTGTGCATGTTTGTTTGTAAGAGCATTAATTTTGTTAAGAAAGGTGAAATAGGAAAAAGCCTAGAAATTGATATTTGGATATTCCAGTTGCTAGGTACATTCTGTTTTTGTTTTTATTAGTCGTCGCATATATATATATATATATATATATATATATATATTATTATATATATATATATATATATATATATATATATATATATATATATATATATATATATATATATATATATATAAATATATATTGTTGACATATATATATATATATATATATATATATATATTATATTGTTGATATATATATATATATATATATATATATATATATATATATTATTACATATTATATATATATATATATATATATATATATATATATATATATATTGTTGATATATTATATATATATATATATATATATATATATATATATATATATATATTTGTTGTTTAATACATATATTTGTTCTTGTAGTTGGACCTTCTTCTAGCTGTAATAAACAGCATGTGTTTCTAATTCAACAACACAAACTCACACAGTCCTCTATAAAACCATTAATGTATCCACAAAGATGCCAAATAAGGAAAAACATGTCAATAAAGAGATCCCTGCTATCAGGGAAATAACATTTAAAGACAAAGTTTTAAACAAGCTCTGAACAAAAAAAAAAAAAAAATAAATAAAAAATAAAAGGAAACATTTGGTTTGAATTAGCCACCCAGAAGAGAAGTGTCCCCACAAAGATAAAGACCAGCTTGGCACATTTGTCATAATTTCTGTGACATTTATCCAGAAAATTTTTTTATATCCAAACATTAATTCCGATTCCTTTGTATACAAGTGATAAAGAAAATTTAATTACGATTTTGGAGTGACCATGGACAAAAAGGCTCCGTGGTCTGTTGATTGTAAAACACAAACAGAGAAAAGATAAAATTTTGTTTTTATCACTAGAGATTGGGAATAATTTTCTTACTCTCCCAATTCTTGAATGTTCTGGTCAATCAAGAAATCACAGTATGAGACGAGCTGATAAAGAAAGATTAATGACTGAAAATTCCTTTTGTTTTTGCTATGCCATCTGGAAGTTGGATTCATCACACCAACCCTATGAGCAGACTGAAGTTGGCTGCTGAGAAAGTAGGAAAAATAAGAGAGGTTAGCACTGCCTAGATAGAGCAATAGTGTGAGATGAGATGTGAAGAGAGTTGTAGCTAAGGGAAGGCTTGATTTTTCTGACCACTCCCAAAAAGGGGGCTAGACAACCAAAGATTTGGAAAATGACTTGAGGAAATATATTTTTAGAATATGGAAATTTAGAAAAAAAATTGATGCTAAGAGTGGAAGGAGACCCTGGTCAACCCTGCTCATGCCGAGCACAGAACTCCATATAAGCCAGGGTTTGGACAACTTGTAGAGAGTCCCTACATTACTGCTACTGGAATCCACAATTTGTTTGCCAAGACCTCCTGACCAAGACCTTGTGTCAGCCCTGAAGACCAGAACTTACAAATTTAAGTTACTATTTAAAACAAGCTGCAGACTCCAAAGGCGATCCCAGTCTCATTTGATTATAACAGAAAGTGGGAATGGTTAAATCCGCTGTATACAACATATCATATATAAACTAAATTGTTGTTACATTTTGAAATAGAGTAAATTCTTTATTACAATGGATTTTTTCTGTGTGTGTAGCTCCCAGCCGTCGAACTGCTTTCACTTCAATTTGCTTCATCAGTGATCTTCTCACCCTTTAAGATAAAAATAACAACGTTGCAGAGGAGTGAATGGTTGTGGACAAACGCTAGCCAAGTCGAGTGGAACTGTGCCTACCATCATGATACCAGCAACAAATGAGTCATGCATTAATGAGTGAAGTGTCAGTTCGATAGTAACCATGGTGGACTGAAGGAACTTGAAGGCTAACGCAGAGTATAGGGCTACATTAATGGTGGACGCTCGCGAGCATTGACTCGTGTGGTGACATTATATAGTTACTGTTGGTGAGAATCGGCGAGTGTGGTGACATCAGCACAAAAGTCAAAAGTATTTTATAAAAAGATAAAACAAAGAGGGAATTCAGAAATTGCTTATACTTTGATTTCAAGCAAAATATCTCATTCCCTACATCCATTTGCCAATTGGAAAGATGCAGAGAGCTTTGACCTCCAAGAACTGATACTTTGTGTAAATAAGCACCTATGTTGATGCTTCCCTGAACACTACAACTGACATCTTCAAATCAAGAGTCAATTGTTATCTATCCTCCTTATCCTCATAATCTTCACTTTCTTCTAGTTTCTCTTACATCTAAACACATACATCATTCAGTAACCCTCTACCATGAGTGGCTCTTGAGGAATGTAGTTTGTCTAAATATTTGCCATGGAAATAGTGATAAATTAGCAATAATCTTGTGATGTTTTATCTATAGGAAAAGGTTTGCAGGGTTGAAAATAATTCATCACCCACAAGGCTATGTAAATCCTTTTGAACTCTGTTAATGCCAGAAAGTGAGATAACTCCAGCCCAGATATGATAGTGAGGTAACTCCAGCCCAGATATGATAGCAATATGCTATCAAATCAGCATACACACACACACACACACGTGCGCACACATCAGCAAAATTCTATACTACATTTAGTTTACATGGAATTTTGGAAATTTTCTAAAATAGAAAAGTGGCCCCTCCTGACAAACCCAATGAATCAAAAAAATATATTCTTCGACCCACTATCTCTATCACAACTAAAATTGAAAGGAATTTATCTAAACTAAATATAAAATTTGTTACAACCACATTTAAAACAATAAAAGACTTAATCAATACAAAACAAGTCAAAACCTGATGGAGGGATTTACCCTATCACCTGCAAAGATTGCCAGAATGAATCTATTGGAGAAACCTTAAGAAATTTAAATAAAAAGATTATATAAACACAAAAGAGACATTTAAAAAAAAACCCAAAAAACAATACATTAAATGCATTAGTTGCTCACCATAATGAGACTGACCACACCTTCAAAAGAAGACTGCTATGCAAAGATTGGGCTGTTAAGACATTCCAGACGCTGCTCTGTAAAGGACTTAATTTTAACAAAGAAACAGTGCACTACCATTATCTTGTGAGATAAACAGATGCCTACTACACATGTGTAAAATGAACAAATAAGCAGACAGACACTTTTTAGTTTCTGGTCGTAGGATTTGATAAGGCAATTTGATTTATAGCCGCCTCTTATCCTCAGAGTTACCAACACATTTTCTTTACACACTGTTTTGTCTTTCATTCCAACCTGAAGAAGCCGAAAGCAATAGACAGTCTCTGTGAAAGATGTAGTTTATACCTTTTCCAGTTAGTCACATTATTTTCACCCATACACACGCACATGACCAACAACTGTTAGGATAATACAATAGACCTTATTACCCATAATGCAGCATTAACCAGCATATTGAAATAGTTGAGACAAAGCAAAGTAAACATGACCTGAGGACTGTGTTCAAACATGATCACAGACTGTTGTTGCTTGGTGTTGACCTCAGTGTCTACTTCTACATTTTATATTTACATACTCTCTACCCCTGATAATGACTACTTTTGATCATAAATACAGCATACATTAAAACTATATTTTCATTTATATATATATATATATATATATATATATATATATGTGTGTGTGTGTGTGTGTGTGTGTATTTTGGTACCATGCTTTCATTGTGACATGTCTTATTAAATAATTTAGACAAGTTTTGTCTAGTTATTTTTAATAGGATGATCTCGTAATTACAGACAAATTTCTTAGTGTTCATATCAAAAGGAAGAATGACCATGCTGATGTATATTCATTTTATTCCGAGTACTTTTGACATTAGTATTAGTACAAAGACAAAAGAATTCTTGTGTTTAACATTAGAAAAAACAATTACGTGAAAATCCTATTAAAAATAAGTAGACAAAACTTGGCTAAATTATATGACACACACACATACATATATATATATATATTTGCATCAATAAAAACATTACTTTAGCCTGATAAGTTCTTCTAGAGGAAGAAATACATTATACAGAATTCTAGCCACTTACAGTGCCATATATAACAAATTAAAGAACTGTTGGTTCCAATTTCTTGATCGAAGCACACAAATGCCTGCTGATATTTCTTCCTAGCCAATAAAATAGGCCAGTTCTTGGTTTCATCTGACTCAGTCCCAATCTGTTTTGTCTTTAATTCAGAATGCTATGGTTGCTTATCATGTGTGTCATTCCCAGTTTGAAAAGTTTTTGCCATATTATTGATAATTTGCCTTGCATAGAGTTTGTTTGCTTTATATCATTTTTTGTCCTGTTTCTTTTTCTTGATATTATTACAAACTTTGTCAATTCTGTTTGTATGGCATTTCTGACATTTTTTTACATTTAACCATGACCACTCACTCTACAAGGACAAACCACATACAGAGAATTGGAGCATTTCACTAAATGAATCATTTGTACAAATTTTGGTTTTGAAAAATGTTTTACTACAAATGAATCATCCCAGAAATTGTGTAGATAATTGGATCAGTTATTGCCAATATTAAAATAGAAAAGTGAATGGAATAGAAAACTTATACTTAAATACAGAATTTAAGTATAAAAGAATGAATTCTAAATTTTATCTTACATATTAATTTTATACCATTAACAGAATTATTTCAAATATTTTATGTTACTTTCAAAATATTTTTTAAGGAGGAAAAAAAAAAATGATTTGTACAGAAATAAATTTCACAGAGAAATCAAAAGATTGGATGTAAAAAAAAAAAAAAATGTATGAAAGTCATAGAATTTCATTGCACTAGATTTCTTTACATTGATATAATTATACACCAACAAGAAATGCTGGAAATTTTAAATTTAGGAAAAAAACTTCTTTTTTTTGTGTTTAGGGTATATAATCTAACCTCCATCTCTCTCTCTCATATATGTTATTTATTTTAGGATATTGAAAAATGTTAAAAATCACTACATAATGGCAATTGTGTTTCAACACTATAAATATGTCTCCTTGGGTGATGTTAAACAACTTGTGAGTGAAAGTCGTTTAACATCGCCCAAGGAGGCACGTTGATGGTGTTGAAACACAACTGCCATTATGTAGCAATTTTTAATGTTTTAATATCATAAAATAAATAATATTTAGCTCTACTCTGTATTGAGCCCTCTTTTTAAATTAAATGTTAAGTATAGCGGAATTATACTCCATTTGTTCTCATTTTACCTGGATATATATATATATATATATATATATATATATATATATATATGTCCATCTATGAAACTTAGAGTTGAGGTACTAAATATAACATCAATCAGCCAAGTGTCAAATTTGATTAAATTACTAATATATATATATATATATATATATATATATATATATATATATATATATGTGCGTGTGTGTGTGAATAAAGGCAAAAAAAAACTGTTCTTTATTCATATTGTTCTTTTACAGGTATATTTTTATTTATATCTGAAATTATCAGGGGAGATAACTCTAGGTTTATTAACGTATAATTTTAGAATTGTTTCCCCTGAAATAAGAAAATAAGAATAAGCAGAGAAGTATCCTTAATCTGTTTGCCTTCTCCATCAGATATATTAGTATACATATGACAAAAATTTTAACAACCAATATATATAAAATGCAGTCTTTAACTCTGGATTTATATCTTTATCTGTCTATGCATTTGTTTATGTAACATAAGTTAATGTCACATCTTTTTTAAGGAAGAGGACATATTTTTGATGTATCTGTGTATATAGCATAATGTCACATATTTTTTCAGGAAGAGAATAGTTTTTGGAATTTGTAGTAAAGGCATTTTGAATGCTAAGATTTATTGCATTTTGTGTGTTTTTACTATGTCTATTGCTTAACATTTAAACAGTTTTAATAGTAACAATTTTTTGTAAATCATTTTATAAATATTTAGCAATTATTTTATATTATTTATTATATATATTGTTTTTTTTTTATATTATTTGTCCAGTGTGAAGAAAAAATAAGTGTTTGGTGTATCAGGAAGGGATAGCTTCTCTGATTGAAAAAGTTGTGCTCTTTTGAGAATAGTTCATCCGCATTGTTTTCCATCTGATGCTCAACTTTTACCGAGTCCCCAAATACCTGTTTGCATGCAACAGCAGCCACCACCCAGTAAACTTGTTCAACAGGTGGGCAAACCAGGTAGTTGGTAGGTCCAAACTCTTGGGTCTGTCAGCCCTATTGCATGTGAAAACAGATTCCTGGTGGAGAGGGTAGATGACATTTGCAAATTTAACGGCCATGAAGACGGTGTCAGCAAATCATGGACATAAAATCCTTGTTATCACCTGGAGCCTAGGAGTTTTCCATTTCAAGGATTCTTTGTTATTGGATAAAGATTCCCCACCCCAAGAGAGTGATTTTCCAACTATAAGATTTTTCCTGCACATGTCCATTTCAAAAATTCATCCACATCCACTGATGAACTGCAAGACAAAGTCTTCTTTATATCTAATGAATAACCAGAATAATCTAACAAATTAGTGCAAATTATCTGTTTCTATATTGATTGATTTATTTTTTTACGGCTTATCAACCTTATGCAGGTTATTTAAAGCGAGAAAATATTTTTAAATTGTAAGAATTCTTTTTATGGAGATAATAATGATTTAATAATACTGTCTGACTAGTTAACCCATACTTGGAGAGAGAGAGGAGGTTGATTCATGACTTTCCCAAGAGTATTTGCATATAAGTGAATATAACAAAACTTTTTTTGGAGATAATAATGATTTAATGATACAATTCTTACTAATTAAACAAATAGCTGAAAGAGAGAAGAAATGAATTTATACCCTTGCCAAGGGTATTTGTGTGGAAATGAATATAACAAACCCAACTAGAATTGGAACTCAGCTCTCTGATTAATGATTCCAAGCCATTATCCATTACACCAACTGACATTCAAGATTACAGCACATGATATTTCCAAGCAGTCACCCATCTAGGTACTGACTAGTCTCAACATTGCTTAACTTTGTTGATCATATGGGAACTTGACTCTCCGATTAATAATTCCAAGCCATTATCCATTACACCACCTGTCATTCAAGATTACAGCAAATGATATTCCCAAGTGGTCACCTATCTAGGTACTGACCAGGCTTGATGTTGCTTAACTTCACTGATCGTATGGGGTCAAATTTTTGAAGCAAGATATATTAAATATATATATATTAAAACTTACTTTTATTTACATCTGTTTTCATAAAGCCCAAGGCAGAGAATTATTTATTATTATACAGGGTGTTCCAAAAGTCTTGGGAACATTTCAAGTCCTCATATCTGCTGAACTATGAATGGCAGTAAGATGAAACTGGTACCATTTTAAAGCTAAACTCACCAAGGTTTTTGTAATACTAATGATTTTTTTCATATTTTTTCAGATCCAGTAATGGTGTTCACTCAGCCAGAAAAGGTGTTTTGCATCCTTGAATTTTTAAAAACTGGATCACACAAAATTCCAAAAAGAGGCACCAGAAAGGAAGTCCATATTGAGATGGCATGGTAAATTCATGAAGGATGGGTGTTTGTACCCAGCTAAGAGAATGGGACGACACTCAACTTTAGATTATATGGTTGAGCGAGTTCGAACTGCCTTCGAGTGGAGCCCCCCCTAAATTGATCAGAAGAGCCAGTAAAGAACTTCAGCTTCTGACAACAACTGTTTGGCATGTCTTAAAAAGCCGACTGCACATGACACCTTACAAACTACAGGACACTGATAAACCGGCTCATTGTGACTTTTGCATTGCAATGAAAGAGAAGTTGGAAGATGACGGTTTTGATGTATGCCGTTTGACCAACAGTGTTCACATTGAACATCTTTGAACATTCTATGTAAAATTCTTTCAGAATACGTCAGGCACGTTTTTATATCCTTAATAATTTTTAAGATATTCAATGTCAAAATATGCGCAAAACTTTTGAAACACCCTGTATTTACTTAGTTTAACTTTAATATTCAGAAAGTATTAAATATAAATAAGAAATATATATTAAATATTAAATATAAATAAGAAAATGCAGAGCCACACCAAGTTTTTGAGCATAACGCAAGTATCTGTTTAAAAAATTTATACATTCAATTAAAAATAAAACATCCTTGATAATGGCTAAAAGAATAGTTGAAAGTGCTCAGATATAGAGAACATTTGGATAATATTTACAAAGTTTCTGCCCAGAAAAAAAAAACTTCTAAGTATTACAAGAAAAATGAAATAAAAAGCTTAATGTAGTACCTTGTCAGTTGTCTTGAATGAAACTTGTATAAAAAGGGATTGCTGCCCAAATACAAAGATATATATATATAACTCCCACCAAACAGAAAAATGTAAAAATGCTGGCAAAAACTAAATTAAAAATTGTACTTGTCTGTCATTCAATGAAACATGTTTAAAAGAAAGTTTGCTGCCTATATATATATCTCATACATTGAATGGTGATACTAATAAAATAGTGACCAATATATAACAACAAGTTATAATTTATATATTAATATTAAAAGATACATTTTTTTTCTCTTACAGGTATACCACAACTTCGCGTTACATGTACAATACAATCGTCAGTCATGAAGTGTAAACTGACCATTGAATAATTTAAATATTGATATTTATACTGTAATGATAGTGGAGCAGTTCATTTATTTAGAGTTTATATATATATATATATATATAAAAAAGTATATAATTGGTATACACGAATGAATTCCAATAACCAACAATTACTATTCTTAAAAGAGTGCTCAATACAAAGTAGAGCAGATATAATTATTTTATAAAAAATTTATAACATAAGTATGTTATAAAATCACTACAAAATAGCCATTTTGTTTCAACACACTCTGTGTCTTATCAAGTGATGGTGTTGAAAATAAAATAAATGGTTTTAAAAGTTTCAGTATTTATGAATAAAAGTAAAAATGTCATTAGTTTTTCAAAAGTTGTAAATTTAAGAGGCACTCATAAATGCTCATCAGGTTAACTGGAAAGTCTCGATAAATTATGGAGGATGTTTAATGATGTAATTTAATAAACAAAAGTCAGTAAATGATTTTATGCATTTATTTTTTTTAAATAATGTAATCAATAGTTACACTATTTACATTATTCGAACTATTGTCTTCATCTTTGTTGCCATATTTATTACAACGTTTCAGCCGTTGTACACTCCAGCCTTCTTCAGGTGGTTGGAATGTCGAACTGAACCCTTTATTTCGCTCACTGGCGTAGACTGTTCTAGTTCCACATGCAATGTCTAATGGATGTCAGTTATCAGTTATCTCCTGTTAATTCCCCTCTCCAAGTTCTCCACCGCCTTAACCAGGTATTGAACTCACATTCTTTGGGTCCTGTCACTGGATCTAACTAACGCCTTTATCCACTGTGCTATGTGTATTTATATTATTTTAGTTTGGGATGAATTGATGTATTATATATTTTAAATAATAGAAGGTTATGAACTTAGTAATTTTCTTTGAATTTTTTAACATCTTTATAGCCATGCATGTTGGATTTGGAAAGAAGTAATTCTTACAGGGATGTAGATATTTGAAAAAGTCCAGGGTGCAAATTTATATTTTGGTAAGATTCAATAGCAACACTATCAAGAATTTTTTGTCTAAGTGTGTTACTTTCCCTTTAAGTATGGCATTCTTTAGATCAAAGTCCTACTTCTATGTATGACTAGTACATTTGATAAACTGTTGTGTTTAAGATCCTCTCTCTCCCTGTCTGTATCTCTCTCTCTCTATATATATATATGATGCATGTATCATTAAATAATATAGACAAGTTTTGTCTATTTATTTTAAGTAAGTTCCTTTCATATTTTCTGATAAGCTTAATAACATTGACCTAACCTGATCAAAATAAACTACGAAATCTTCAAACATTTTTAAATGCCTATAATTGATAACAGAAGCCATTGATTTATACCAACAGCTTCCCATACTTAATACTTCTCGTTTTCACTCTCACGTTGTCATGTGTGACGTCATGAGCTGCAACGCGATTTTCGCTTCTGCATCTCATATACACTAGTTAGTCATTGCTTTGAAATTTTTCATGCAACAAAAAAAAACTATCATTATTGTTCCGTTATTGGTTGATATATTGAAAAGTAATTGTCATCTTTGATAATGGCTTATGTAAGCCGAAAGCTTAGATTGGATTTAAACATGATCAATATGGTAATTTCCTTTTGTGCTTCAATGATAATGTTATTAAGCTTAGACAATATGAAAGGAACTTACTTAAAATAAACAGACAAAACTTATCTATATTATTTAATGAAACATGTATCGTTGAAAAATTGCTGCCTAAATATACACTATATATATATATATATATATATAGCTTATGCAAATTTAGGTAATCCTTATGGGTAGACCTGAGGAGGATGATATCCAGAGAGCTCAATGTAAAATTCAGAGCAGATATGTTTGAATAAAAGACAGACCACGTTAACCCTAATAAAGGGGTTATGGTGAAATAGCTTATTACATGGAATCTTAACGTGATCTGTCTTTTTTATATATATATATATATATATATATATATATATATATAGAGAGAGAGAGAGAGAGAGAGAGAGACAAAGAACAAATAGGAAATGTTTATCAATCTAAATTGTTTCACTTTTATTAAAGCTTAGATGGATAGAATGTTGATGCCTTTTTGAAGTAGTTTCCATGTTTGGACAACATGAATTGAGATCATATATAAATCAAAATGGATCCCAATTTGATCAGTAATTCATCCCAATTCAACCACACACACACACACACACACACACACATATATTTGAATGTATTTTTTTTAATTCAATGCTATTCCTTCTATATAATAAATGCGAATGTCAGTGTGTCACACTTTTTCAACTTTACTCCCAGAGTCCAAAGCCTATGATATTATACCATTTTGTAATTAGGCTGACTCTGTGAGCAAATTAAAAACATTCTGGGTCAGATCCATACCCTCAATCCTGAAATTTTGAATTCCCAAATTTTCATTACTGCAATTGATTTTGGTGTTTTTTGTACATGATTTTTGCTAGAAAGTTTTTTTACGATAACAATTTTTATAACTTGGAAATAAATTTGGAAATAATCGAAATTGTGAAATCCAGCAAAAGTCTCCCATGAAATAAAATTAATTCTTTGTATAGAAAGTAAAGCCCTAAGTACTTCAAACTGTCTTTAAATTAAGTGGTGGCAGAAGAATTATTGTTGAAATTTTAAAAGGTAAGCTTAAATATGAATGCAATACTTAAATGCAGCAATCAATTTTGAGTTTTTCTGTAGTTTATTGTTGCCTATTGCATCTACTCTTCCCTACCTATTGTGGTGATGGGCCCAATTAAGAACCCTCCGCAGGAGCTACCTTAAATGCTGTCTGATTCAGCTGCTTTTAAGCTAGTATTACTATAAATGTCATTTTTAGTGGGTACTTGTGTTTTAGTTGCTATAGCAGTTTTTTTATTTACTTAAATAGAGAAATTTAATAACAACCAGCCTAGAGCAAGAAAAAAAAAATGAAGAAATTACTGTTGTTTATGATTCCGGTATGTAAATGAAGCTAGCAGATATAAATTTATAGAAGTCACAATGAAAAGTGTGCATTCCTTAAATAGGTAATTCAAACCCTGATCTATCAAGATGGCCACCTGTGGCCAAACTGGTAGTGGCACATTTGGGCTATAGAAGCAATTCCCTGATGAAAAAGAGGATACATATTTGATTCCTATCAGGATGCACAATTTTTCTTTTGTAAGACTTCTTGATTTATGCTGTCATTATTAGCTTCATTATTTAACATTTTGGAGGCAGAGCCTCATTTGGAGTTTCAGTGTCAAGAAGATGGAGCCCTTTTCACAAGCCCTCACTTGGAACACAAAGAAACTAATATAAAATCACAGAACACAGCAAACTATCATAGAAACTGCCATTAAGAAACAATCTGACTGGCTGCTACAAAGACCAGCCAGCCAATCTCAAGGCTTGTATGATCAATTGAACAGATCAGCACCGGTGTCGTCTTTGTCATTTCAGTGTCAAGAAGATGGAGATCTTTTCACAAGCCCTCACTCGGAACATAAAGAAAATGATATAAAATCACAGAACACAACTATCATACAAACTGCCATTGAAAGGTCCAGATGTGCAAGAAATGCAAGAAGCAATCTGACTGGCTGCTACAAAGACCAGCCAGCCAATCTCAAGGCTTGTATGATCAATTGAACAGATCAGCACCGGTGTCGTCTTTGTCATTTCAGTGTCAAGAAGATGGAGATCTTTTCACAAGCCCTCACTGAACATAAAAAGAAAATGATATAAAATCACAGAACACAACTATCATACAAACTGCCATTGAAAGGTCCAGATGTGCAAGAAATGCAAGAAGCAATCTGACTGGCTGCTACAAAGACCAGCCAGCCAATCTCAAGGCTTGTATTATCAATCCAACAGATCAGCCCAGATGTTGTCTTCGTCATTTGACTTTTTGACCGATAGATCGGCCTTGTCGTTTCCTAAGGGTTAAGAAAATAATAAAACAGGGATACCAACTTAAATTCAAGTACACAGGTTGTGCAGTAAAAACTTTGAATTTACTGAAACCTCATCCGCCATTTAAAACTTCAGTGTCAACTCTCCTTCATAAATCAGCATAAACATCACTTTAGTCTGATGAAGTCCTACAGGACTACACATCACACTAATTTTTTTTTTCCACTTTGTCATTAATTTTCCCTAACATTTTTCTAGTATATAAAAATGCATAAATCATTTTCTCCCATAGATTAATATATATTTTTTGTAAAAATAAAGAATGTCAATAAGAACACTGGATTATATATCTTACTGTTCTTTATATATATATATATATATATATATATATAAAGAAATATAGTTTTAAGGTGAGCTATATTTATGGGATAAAGTGCTCAATATCAATAGAGATAGAGTGTATATAAATATAAAAGTGAATATTGAAGTTAACACTCAGAGGTGACAGGCGGTTTCATGCTAGATGCAATCGTCAGACTGCCTGATGATTGCATCTAGCATGAAACAGCCTGTCAACTCTGAATGTTGACTTCAATGTTCACTATATATATATATATTATATATAAAAAGAAATATAGTTTTAAGGTGTGCTATATTTATGGGATAACGTACTCAATATCAGAGACAGAACGTATGTAAATATAAAAGTGAACATTGAAGTCAACACTTAGAAGCATATATATATATATATATTTTAGATTTTTTTATTAGGACTGATTTTATTTATAGCAAGGTGGTAATAGTGAGAGTCATTCATTTTTAATCATTGTTAAAATGAAGATCAAGTTTTTAAAAAATATTTTCCAAGTACAATGGAATTGCAAAATTCCTTGAATTTTCTCTTATTTTTTGACATAAATTCATTTTTGTGAACATTCATCAAATTCCAGGAGACATGATGACTGCTCTTATCAAGGTTGAAAATTGATATAACAGCTTTTTAATGTTCATGTCTGCATGAACAGATAGTTATGGGAAAGTGGTTTCCTCAAGTGCTCACTCAACAACTCACTATCAACTATTGTCATGTTAGTGATGAGATATTTTTTACAATGTTATCTGGTCAAGGGAAAGAGTGAAGGGAAGATGGGTTCATGCCTATTCTTAGAGCATTAGTACTAAGTGAACATAGCACTGTAAACCTTTAATTCAACAAAAGCCAATTTTTTAAAACTTTTATTTTCAACATTTAAAAGCCAGCAAAAAACAACAAAAAAAATTTCATCAAAAATCAAGAAAGGGACAGAGTTAACAAAAAAGATAGCAAAATCAATTTGAAAGTAGGAATTTGCTGGAAATAATGTGGGTTAATATTTGGTGGAGAGGGATAGTAATTCACAAAAATGCTTGGCTGGAATAACAGAACTATGATAAGAAATACTAAAAAAACAAAAAAATCACACACACCATACAGTTGCATATAACTTCATAAGATAACTCACCGCCTGTACCTTTCCTTTATGACGGATATCTTTCTAAAAATATTCAGAAAGAAGCATTTCCAATAAGTTTAAAAGTGTGAAAAAAAAAAAAAATAAAAATAAAGAGATTCTTCCTTAAACAAATTTTTCCAAAATATTTTAAATCAGGGACACATATATACACACAAATATATATCATCATCCCCCCTCCCACCACATATACCTCTATATCAGGCATGTACCATCAGTAATTACTCAGGGTAGGCAACTTGTAATCTTTATGTAGTTAATCTACAAAAAAAATAAAATATTTCTGCATAATAATCAGAGTAACCTTCATAATATTGTTGGATTAGGTGCATATTGTGCCACAGAAGGAAAATGTAGCTTGTGTTTATTCAGGGTAGTTACTGCCTACCTTGCCTACCTAGATGGCATGTCCCTGCTCTATATTCAATATATAGTCATGTTTTTTCAGTCTGAAAGAGAGATATTTAATTCAGGTACATTCTGAAATTTTAAAGAGTCATTTTCATTCCAATAGTTGTTCAAACAAATGATTTCAAGCATTTTTTTGCTTTTGTTGTTGCATTTCAGATGATCTTTCTAACCCTGGATCAAATGTAGAGAAAAAAAAAAAGTAGAAAAGATTTCAGTTTTTTTTTTCTAGACATACTTTTTGTTTCTGAAAGATACAACCACACATTTCATATTCAATTTGCACTTGAGGAAGGATATATAATGGATCAACTGAATCATTGTAGCAGTAACAAAAGCTCAAAATGAGTTTCAACAGTCTGAACAACTCTTGGAAGGCCAATACCACTGAAGGCTGTAGAATGGATCAACTGAAACATTATTGTAAAAGTGTATAACTTATGGAAAGATATTCAACTCATTAGTGATAAAACTGCCTGAAACTATCTTATAAAATAAAACAAAAACTATTACCCCTACCAAAAAAAGGCTGCAATGTACAGACAAAATACTGAAGGAATATGAGCTGTTAATCTTTGCTAATTTAAAAGAACAGAATTGAAAAAAAATCAAAAAAATCAAAAACAAAACTAAAGCATATTTGAAAGGAAGAGTAGGCTTTATTATTGAAAATGCTGGTTTAGGCTGAGAGCCAATATCATTAATGAGAGAATTTCTGTTTTTCTGTTTCAAATATTCTGGCCAATAGTATAGCATTAGAAATAAGAACAGGCAATCTTAAGTAAAGTTGAATAATAGTGAATGAGAGGAAAAAAGGTAAAAAACAACATTTCTCAATTAGGGAGACAAAGGGATCTGACTTCTTATTAGGTATGATTTTGTATTTAAAATAAAAAGGAAAAATGGATAAAAAGCTATAAAATCAATTTTCATCAATTTTCTTTTTTCTGATACAAATCTCTTCAAGTCTTGAACAGTATTGAATATGATAACTTTGAAGATAAAATATTGTTAATTATTTGACTTGTCCACATATATTTGTTTTGAGATCTTCAAATGTATGGCTTATCCCATAGTTTCCAGTGCAACATAAATTTAATTCTCTGATTTATATGAACATTGTAATGAAGATCGTGGCAGAATTTCTAATAATATTTTTAAGTAAATAAATAAAAGGCTACCAATTGAAAAGTCTATCAGTAGGAAGCAAGAAAAACACACCAGACGAAATTTTGAGTGATAATCAACTAAAATTTGGACAGCTTAAAAGCTTTTCTTTTTTTTTTTTTAACTCAATTCATCCCAAGCAAAGTGATAATGCCAGTAAGACACAAGGGGCTCCTAGGAGTGAAAGAGAATGAGAAGACAATTAAAAAGAACTAGAGACCCAATCCTAAACAAAAAACAAGGGATAAATCTCTACTCCTGATCAAAAATGCTACTACTTGGGTAGTTAAATAAAGAGAAATTACTGAAATAATTTATAAATAAAATACTTCATGTAATAAATTCCAACAATGTTATTGCATCTAAACTACTTTGGACAACAAAGCTAACATAAAAAAAAGCCTACTAAAAAATGCTTTTATGAAATTTTCTGTTCAAAGAATTTTACAAAGCTTTCTTGGTTGGCTGGCTAGCTAGCTCGAGAGATAGAACAAACTAAATTAAATGTAAAGAGGTTGGCTTAGATAGATAGAATAACCTGGATGAGATTGCTAGATATGAAGAAAGATAGGTAATCATGGAAAGACCAAAATAGATATTAAAGAACTGGCAAAGATATGAACAGAGATAGGTAGGTGCCAACAGACCGAGGTACGTAGGGAGGTAGGTAGGTAGGTACCGACAGACCGAGGTACGTAGGGAGGTAGGTAAGTAGGTACCGACAGACCGAGTGCGAGGGGAGGTAGGTAGGGTACCGACAGACCGAGGTACGTAGGGAGGTAGGTAGGTAGGTACCGACAGACCGAGGTACGTAGGGAGGTAGGTAGGTAGGTACCAACAGACCGAGGTACGTAGGGAGGTAGGTAGGTAGGTACCAACAGACCGAGGTACGGGGAGGGAGGTAGGTAGTACCAACAGACCGAGGTACGTGGGGAGGTAACTAACAGACTGAGGTACGTAGAAATTATAAAGTAGATGAAGAGGTGAAGAAAGAGAGGGTAGGTGAAACAAAAAGAGAAGAAAAATAAAACAAAGAAACTATGAGTGACCGAATTAAAAAATAAGAAACAAGAATTATAAACAAGGCAGTGAAAAATCTAAGAAAGAGAAGTCAGAAAAGAGAAAGAACAGGGAAAAAGGATGTGAAAAACAAAAGACTAAAAGAACAAAAAGAAAAAGCAATACTGTGAAAAATAACAGAAAAAGTGAAAAGCTAAAATAAAAGGAGAAAAGGGTTAATGACGGGGGAGGGGAACAGAACAACAAAAAGAGTTAAGTAAAAAAAGAAATAACAGTAAAATAAAAAAAATGTTATTGATTTTAAAGGAAGGAAAGAAAGGAAAAAAAAAAGTACAATAGAAAAAAAGTTTATAACAAATGAGAAAAGAAATAAATGAAGACAAAAGTGAAATTTCCATTTTACAAGGACGAACTCAAAATCAATATTTTTTCATTTCAGTAAATAACATTTCTTCCAATTCCCTTTTAACTAGAGGCATACAAAGTTCTAAGATCAGATAACTCTAGGCACAAAGGCATTTCTAAGCTCAATACAGATGCCACATCAACAGGGACAGGAGTTTCTAAGACTTCTTTATCGGCTCTAAATACCAGGAAATAAATTAATTATAGTAATAAATTTGTTTGTTATTATTATTTTTATCATCAAATTTTATATTACTTTTTATTTTTTAATTTAATTATCAAATTTTATATTACTTTTTATTTTTTAATTTAATTATCAAATTTTGTATTTTTTTCATTTTACTTTTAATTATCAAATTTTGTATTTTTTCATTTTATTTTTAATTATCAAATTTTGTATTTTTTTCATTTTATTTTAATTATCTAATTTTGTATTTTTTTCATTTTATTTTTAATTATCTAATTTTGTATTTTTTCATTTTATTTTTAATTATCAAATTTTGTATTTTTTCATTTTATTTTTAATTATCAAATTTTGTATTTTTTTCATTTTATTTTTAATTATCTAATTTTGTATTTTTTCATTTTATTTTTAATTATCAAATTTTGTATTTTTTTTTCATTTTATTTTTAATTATCAAATTTTGTATTTTTTTCATTTTATTTTTAATTATCAAATTTTGTATTACTTATTACTTATTTAATTATCAAATTTTATATTTTTTTTAATTATCAAATTTGGCATTACTTTTTAACAGCTATAATAATTTCAAGTAAATTATTTTTAATTGCTTTTTTCAGTCACAATTGAAAGAAGAGTTACAAATTTATTGATGAATACGCATGTTCACATCTCTGTGGGTAGAGAATGGTCACTCAGCATCTACAAGAGATTTATTTCAGGAACCCCTGTGGATGCTCAAAATCTGTGGGTTATCCCCACATAGCTGTGCCAGTTTTGCCAAGAAGTCATTAGGTGGCGCTGTAAAGAGCCTATCAAAACTGAATGCTTCCTGTTTTCATCCTTTTCTCTCTCTTTACTACCCAGCATGCTGTAGCAACAACACCAACTGAGACCTCCCTGGACATGGGGATATCATGTGTGTATCACCCATCCAGTTACTAACTTTTGATGTTTTCTTTCTTTTGCATCTGTGACACCATTTAGGGCTGCAAGGAAAAAAGGAAGAAAAAAAAGAGAAAGAAAAAGAGAGGCGAGAGTTGAAACTTAGATGATAAAGGAAAGCCATCACAAAAGGGGCATTTAGCGATGTTATTTTGATAATGAAAAATGGTGAAAATTTTTATGGCCATTTGACAAATTCCAGATTGGCTAGCTGGCATCAGAGACAGAATTCTAAATAGATAAACATTTAACTGTGTCACGGGAATGCCATTTGGGGCTTCCACAGAATTCTAAAGAGATAAAAATTTAATAGGTCGTCGTTGACCACACATGAGCTGAAAAAAAAAAAAAAAAAAAAAACAAAACAAAGTAAATAGGTTATGTCTTTGTCGATGGAAAGATATCGTTAGACAAGGTGTCTGTTTTGTGTTGAAATTTGACAATGACAGCGAAACTATTTTATCAGAAACCGCACCAAGAATGCAAATCTGACTAGGATAAGCGAAACTACCTTTATCGGGACTAAAAAGTTGGCTGAGTTTAAGCTAGATGACCACCCACTTGATAATTGGCGAAAATCTGATTGACGAAGTCCATATGAAAGTGACTTTGGGATAAGAATTGAGATTATCACACTACGGGTCGTATTGTTCTGTTGGCGGCCAGAGAAGAAGAGAGAAAAGAAAAGAAAGAAAAGAAAAAAAAAGGAAAAGAAGAGATAATTTTTTTTTCTTTGAGCAAGATATTTTTTTTTAAAAAACAAGGCTAGTCTGGTCACACCCACACTGTTGATCGCCCATTGGCTGAATGTTAACGAGAGCCAGGCGGAGGTGATCATGTGATGCAGGGGGGGGAAGGCCTGCCACCACACATTAAGAGGATAGGTATGAGATGTTACTGCGAAGGAGTAGGAAAACCGTTGACGCCCTCTGGGGGTATGGTAAGAGACCCATATGAGAACGAAAGAAGGTGGGGGTAAGAGAAGACTTCCAAAAATGGAAATAATAAATTTTTCCTGACTGAAAACAAAAGAAATTATCAAGGAACCCCAAACCTCGACAAAGCCCACCCCGGTTTTGGTCGGCATCCATATAAGCAAAGTCGTAGCGAGCGAAAATCAGTTCGAGTTCAGTTTCGAGTTTAAGTTGAGAGCTCTGAAGACCCACCACGCATTAGCTGACCAAGATTCGCGCAACTTGTGAACTCATCTTCAATCCAAGAACAATTTATTTTTGAAGAGCGACTTAGACTCATACCACCAAAACAAGTTTTACGACTATCGCCTGAAGACACACCAAGAACCAGTTTCTTAAAGAACAGACAACTTAAAATGTTAAGACTTGCCTAACAAAAACAACGTGTCACGAATCCATATAGCGGGTCGGGAGATAGACGCAGTCCTATGTATCCAGCAACCAGATATAAAGTATTGTTATCCTTTTTTTGATACCTTTGAACTTTGAGTTATTATTTTATTTTGCATATAATTGTGCGATACCACCCTTATTCGAACTCGACTTGCATTACGGCCCTGACGACTGATTGATTTCGTTTGCCTAAGATCAATTCACAACGTGGGTAGGCAGACTGGAGATCAAAGTAGTTACTTCGGTAACCAGGCGTTGGAGGTGAGTTGGGAATGACGAGGCTGATATCGGATCTAACCAGATTCCCATCCGAATCACCAAAAGGTTAGAACGTCACATTTGGGTGCTGCAACCAATACCAAGCCAGTAGGTCATCACAGGACGGGATAGCACGACTGACGCAGACAGGCGGATGTCACGTTTGGAGCGACGACACCCGAACGAGCGAGGAACGAGCAGCGGCGGGGACATCACACATCCATACTTATATATTTTCTCTCCTTTGTCACACATTTATAAAATATTGCCTCATTGAAGTTTATTCCATTGTATGGAAGTTCTAACTGTGAGTAAATAATTGTAAACCCACTAACATTTATATATACAAAAATACTTGTCAAAATGAGAAACAGCAAGATGTAGAAACAATAAAATGAGTATTATATATTATCTGGTTGTTATGCAGTGTTGGAGAAATGAGACACGGTAATATGGAGTAAAATTGTTAGTTTAGGATCAAATATGGATCAGAATCTGACAAAATGATAAGATAAAGAATGAGTAAAGTGTATACAGTCTTTCTCATATGCTTTTATAGATGTATTTACTGAGTGTCTAGATAATTTTTGTTGGAAAATACAAAGAGTATCTGGTGTTTTCTTACCGCAAATTTTTATTGAGTGCTATGAGATAAATGTTACTATTATAGCCTGAAAAAGGAAAATGAGCCAAAATTCTTGTTGATGCATGTGTTGATGGCCTGTCCGTGTTGACTTGTCCAATAGTTAGAATATCATGTGTTTGTGTGTGTGTAGAGGAAAAAAGTGGGGTCAATTTTTATTGGTTTAGAAAGAGTGAATTAATGATAATTATAATTATTATAATTACTTTTTGACACTATAATTTATTTATTTATTTACTTTCTATGGACACAGAACAGTAACAGTATATGTTTAAACTTTACATTTTTTTATTCTTCAGACATTTCTTTGTTCAATAAAAAATATTGACTCATTGAAATTTATTCTATCTCCTTACACCCATTGTGTCCTAGGTATGATGATAAACTACATCTGTGTCCTGGGGAAGACGATAAACTATATCCAACAGCAAGGCCTCTGATCAGGAGGTTTCAAGGAGCGTAGAACCACATTTTAATTGCTGGTATCCCCAGGTCTACCCTGACCTGGGGTGGTAGCACCGGTTAGGGTCTCAGCTACGAGCAAATAGTTAACTCCGAACTGGGGTCAAAACACTAAGTGTAAAAATAGATTTTAATACCAGAAATACTTTGAAAAAAAAAAAAAAAAAAATTATTACCAGCAATACATTTTTGGAGAAAAAATATTACCAGAAGTACATTTTTGAAGAAAAAAAAATATTACGAGCAATAAAAATTTTGTCGGCATGAAATAACCCATTGAGGTTGATATGCCGTAAAACAAACAAACCAAACCATACAACCATCATTGTACAAAATAATATTTTAGTTTCAGCCTAAATAGGAAAAGTGCCTGCAATAAAATCCATAAATTCCCAAGTTCCTTATATAAAATAGTTTATTATTTGTATCTAACTTATTCACATTCACTAGTTTAGTTATAAAGGCTTCCTTCCTTCTTCAGGTGCTATGCATGACGCACACTTGGGCAATCATGACTCTTTTCAATTCACAAATGACATGGCAGAGGAATTCCCACAGTAGGCCTTCATTACTTTCTGTGAGAGCCTAGTCTCTCTATTTAACCTATAGCTGTCATGAGGAGTGTCGAAGAAATGGATTTATACCTTTCCCAAGGGTATTTGCCCATAAATAAATTCTCACTCAGTCATTATCTATTACACCACCTGCACATCCAAACTTACAGCACTTGGTATTCTCAAGCGGTAAGCCATCTAGGTACTGATCAGGCTCAGCATTGCTTAACTTTGGTGATCAGATAGGAACCAATGTTACAACATGATATGGCTATAATGTAATGCCTTATATACAATTAAATGTGATACAGAGAGTTATAATGTAGGATGTGAATAGTCACTAGAATTACTAGATATTAAATAGCAATTCAACACAGTAATCTTTGTCTTTAGGATATTTCTCTATCTTGGAATTAATCTTTTGGTAATTATATTGTCCTGGGTATGATGATAAACCACATCCAGCAGCAAGGCCTCTGAATGGGAGATTGAAGGTTTTGAGGAGTGTAGAACCACCTCTTAATTGCTGTTGTTCCCTGGTCTACCCTGACTTGGGGTGGTAGTACCTGTTAGGGTCCCAGCTATGGGCAAACAGTGAACCCCTAAACAAAAATCAACAGTATATTTTTATAGTAAAATTACCAATAATATATTTTATGACCTACAAATTATATATCTAAGAAACATATTTTTTACCCTGAAAGTATAAAATCAAGTACAAAATATCTGTAGTTGAAAACATAAAATTATGTACAAAATATTTAGATTTCAGCATTAAATAACCCATAGAATGATATGCTGCCAAACAAAACCAACCAACATGAAAGAACTACTCTTTCATGACATTAGTCCATATAATATCCTACAATTTCTTAAAGCAATCAAACTGTATTCCAAGATATAGCTTCAACAAAACTACAACATAAAACACATATCACCGCCTCTAGCAATTATGTCCACACAAACATCTTTACAGTGACCCCTCGTTTATCGTGGTAGATTGGTTCTGAGACCGGCCGCGATAACTGAATTTCCGCGAAGTAAGGACGCCATATTTACAGTATTTATTTAACGTGTATTTGGACTTTTAAAACCCTCCCTGTACTGTTAACAACCCACCCAACAACAACTGTTAAGCAATAACACTTTAGATTAAAAAAAAATAAAGATTGTTATTGTATTCAACACAAAAGAAGTTGAAGTAGAATTTGAATTATGATGGTGATGAATTTGCTGTGCAGTAGAAATGATGATGATAACTTCTACTGTGCAGCCAATAATTGTATTTTACGTCTCTTCAGACAGTGGTGCCCTTTCTATTGCTATTTTACGCTTGTTTTTTTGTTCCTAGACCAGGAAATAATATTTATTATTAATATCTTAATGGGTTTAATGAAAAATTTTAGGTGTTCATATATCGCAATTTTTCTAGAATTTCCCAGAAACTCCGATAGTATAACCACAAATTAGCGAGGGATCACTGTATAAGCACAAAAGCTGAGTATCATCTACCATGTATTCAATTGTGAAAGCAGAATAACATATCATTATGACTTCAAAGATCCAATAAAAATTAAATTTCAGAATAAAATGACCCAAAAAGTGTTAATATGCTGTTAAACAAATCAATCTGTAATTATATGCACCTTCAGATTTTTTTTAGTAATATTTGCCATCATCTGTTAATGCTCTATCCAGATATTTAAATTTCTATACATGCTTGATTTTGACATTCCCATTATGTAGCTCACACCTTAGGCTGGCCCTTTTGCTGACAACCATGCATTTTCTCTTAAACTTTTCTCCTTGCTTTCATTTACTACTTTGTCTAAGAGTTCTTTCAGTTTTCATTCTGAGTTTGCTATCAACAATATCAACGTTGTTAAGATTATGTCCATCAATAATAAATCCTGATAGGTCTTCTAGTTTTCATACGATTGTCAGACATTAACTTAAATATAAAAAAGGAACAGGAGCATATTTTTATTATGAATGTATATTTCCCTGTATATAGGTGCATGGCTGTATGTTAGCATTCCAACTATGAAACCTGGTTTTAAATCTCAACAGAGTCAATTTATCAATGAGGTAACTTCATTATTATATTTGTCTGAAGAGAAAATCCCAGCATATGGTGGGAAATGTCGGAATATCATAACACAGGATAATCCAAGCCTTTTATGTAAAAATGGGTTTTCAAAATACAAACCTATTCAGAAGCCATCAATGATTGTGCTAGAACAAAAATCACAAGTGAAGAAACACATATTTGACTGAGCAGGTGTCTGCAACAGGGAATACCTAAGCAATCTCACAAAAGGTATACATAGGAACAAACAGCCAGATATGACTTATATATCCCTAAACTAACTCAGGATAAAATAATGGGGCATCTAATTATGATTAAATTCACTAATAATTGTGAGATAGAGTATGTTTACACTATGCACATCCATGAAGTGGGTGTGTGGGAGTGTATGTAAAAGTGTGTTATACTCATAGTATGCATGTATAAGGCCTGTCCAGAAAGGATACAATCATTTAAACTAAACTCATTTAAAATAACTAGCAACCATACTTAGCTGATCAATCAGAAAAAGCATTCAATTAGAATGGAGCTAAAACAGTATCATGTTTCGATGTAACAGAGTCTATCTTCTTCAATTTCTTTAAAGTACTTTCATTAAAATACATTTTGAATTAATGCAGTTACTGAGAAAACCGAAGTAGTCTGTACTTATTCAATCAAAGTTAACCGAGGACACAAAGGGGTAAAACAGGCAACATGAAGACCCACTACACACCACAATTATTTTGGAGTTTTTGAAATTCAGTTTGTCAGTGTTGTACCAGAGATGTAAAAGAGGATACATTTATAAAGTAAATGTTAAGTTTGATGAAAATTGGTTGAAAGATCAATGAAAAATAAGAAAGAAACCAGTAAAAATTGCCATTTTCACTATTTACAGATTTTCACTATATGGGTGGATTCAATTTTCAAGTTTTTTAAACAATCAACTTATTGTTGGCTACAACTGAGTGAAATTTGTATTAGATTGCTTGAAAATTGAGGGAGTTTTTAGCTTAAAATTTGTGTTTAAATTGATTTTTTGTTTATCACTAAACACAGTGGTGTAGGAATAAAAATGAGGTATTGTTGAGCTCATCATGATGTAAGTAACCTACATACTGAATTTCAACAAAATCAGAGGAAAAAAGTTGAATTTATCGATTTTTGATCAGCTTTATTGATTATTGATTTTTTACACTAAGAACCTATCTCTTACATTGTACAATCTGTGTACCAAGTTTGGTCAAAATCGGTTAGATGGATCGAGTGAAAAGGTATCACACAGACAAACATCCTCTATTTTATATATAAATAAAGATTCGGGAAATGGTGCCTTAGTCCCCCTTCAAAGTTTTCCCTTTGGGAACTTACATTCCAGCATCTCTTCCACTTTTTTAAACAGTCTGTGTTGTAAAATAGTATATAATGGTCAATAAGCAAGTAGTCACACAAACTGAATCTTAACAATTTGCTGTTCTTGACTATTTAGAGTTCTCCCTCTTCACACAAATAGAACTATCATGACAGTCTGCAATATTTTTTTTTTTTGGGAGATCACTATCATTTGCTTCTGTGTATTCTATTTAATTTCTTACTTTTTTTTAATGTAAAATGTTAGCTAAGAACAAGTTCACTAAACATGATGACTACAACATCATTTGTTTTGGCAGTTGTAATATTTACATAATGTTCCATGGCTTCTTGATAAACATTTGAGGTTGGTTTTTTTTCAAACCCTTTTGATTTTTCACAGGCCTTCTTACAATTAGAAAATCCTATCTTTGTAAAGGCATCTCCTAAGACCAAGGCCTGAACTAAGAAAGATTTAGCTTTTGCAGCTTTTAGACGGATAAAACAAAATGCAGAATCTCTCTCTTCGTCATAATGCAACCAAGGGTAACTGTCAAACCAAATGGATTGAAAAGATCTTTCATGACCTTTTGGTCCACTTGGTTGGTTTACAGTACTTATATAACAAATATCTAGGACAACATTTTTCATACGAGGTACTTCTCATGACTTTACTGAGATTTCTAGTAATCCAAGATGTAATGAGTTGGATATCAGTAGGAGCAGATCGCTGAAAGTAATAGATTCCTGGCATCATAAAAAGGGTTGTTTACATTAAAATTTTAAAAAACAAATTGTTTTGAAGCAATCACCGTTTTTTAGTGATAAATTCAATGCAGAAGAGTAGGAAACCTACTGGTGAGATGGAAATGTACTAGAAGAGGAAAAAAGTAAAACAGTTATGTCCTGACTTCAAAAAGAAAAGGTACAGAGCAAAATTTCAGGGGAAAATTAGCTCAGGGGAGGTGTCATAATGGAATGTTCCACTCTCCCTATTACTTATTATGGACTGACTATATCAGTAATATATGTAGTGTGCACAGGACATACCAGAGTCTGTCTGACTGTCTAACTGGCTTTGGGAAATGTTAGTAGATTCCCTGTCTTTCAGTAGTGTATTCTCTTTTACAATAAACCTTTCTTTCTTCCATCTGTGCCTGTGTTGCTGTTCCTTCCATTTGAGTACCACCTTTATCTGTTTGTAACCTTTTTAAGGATACAACACTATCTATCTCAGTCTTTCCATTATTTATCTATATCTCTCCATTATCTATCTGTTGTAATGAAATGTTGCACTCTCCTTATTACTATATCAGTGATATATGTATGTAATATGCACAGGACATACCAGAGTCTGACTAGCCTTGGAAAGTGTTAGTTGGTTCCCTGTCTTTCAGTAGTGTATTCTCTTTTAAAATAAACCTCTTTTTCTTCCATCTATGCCCGTGTTGCTGTTCCTTCCACTTGACTACCACCTTTGTCTGTTTGTAACCTTTTTAAGGATACAACATCTATAATACTTGTAAAATTTTAATTTTACTGTGAGATTCACAAGAATATGGATTGGCAAAAATTGTGATATAAAAATTATTTTTTATGTTGAGCAGAAACAAAAATATAAGCATCTTAAATCTTTGTTTTAGGGCCTTCAAAAATTTGTGACATCAAAGGTGTCAAACAAATTTTATAAATGATAAATCTTTTTTGAAGCTTTTATCTTAGTTTTAATTTTAAGACATTAAATTTAATATTTCCACTAATCAAAATACCTGAAAACAACTTCTTTAAAAAACTGGAAGAAATCCCCCACTCCTTAAAAAATTTGAATTTAGTGCCATTTTTAGCCCATGT